ACAAGCACCTGCTTGTAATTAAGGATGTTTGCTTGTCATTAAGGATTTTTGCTGGTCAAAAATCCTTAATTACAAGCACCTGCTTGTAATTAAGGATGTTTGCTTGTCATTAAGGATTGTTGCTGGTCAAAAATTCTTAATTACAAGCACCTGCTTGTAATTAAGGATGTTTGCTTGTCATTAAGGATTGTCGGTGGTCAAGAATCCTTAATTACAAGCACCTGCTTGTAATTAAGGATTGTTGCTTGTCATTAAGGATTTTTGCTGGTCAAAAATCCTTAATTACAAGCACCTGCTTGTAATTAAGGATTTTTGCTTGTCACTAAGGATCTGTTTCTTGTCAAAATCCTGAATTACAAGCACCTTCTTGTAATTAAGGATTTTTGCTTGTCATTAAGGATCTGTTTCTTATCAAAAATCCTTAATTACAAGCACCTGCTTGTAATTCAGGATGTTTGCTTGTCATTAAGGATTTTTGCTGGTCAAAAATCCTTAATTACAAGCACCTGCTTGTAGTTAAGGATTTGTGCTTGTTATTGAGGATTTTTGCTGGTCAAAAATCCTTAATTACAAGCAACTGCGTGTAATTAAGGATGTTTGCTTGTCATTAAGGATTTTTGCTGGTCAAGAATCCTTAATTACAAGCACCTGCTTGTAATTAAGGATTTGTGCGTGTCATTAAGGATCTGTTTCTTGTCAAAAATCCTGAATTACAAGCGGGTGCTTGTAATTAAGGATCTGTTGCTTGTCATTAAGGATTTTTGCTGGTCAAAAATCCTTAATTACAAGCACCTGCTTGTAATTAAGGATTGTTGCTTGTCATTAAGGATTTTTGGTGGTCAACAATCCTTAATTACAAGCACCTGCTTGTAATTTAAGGGTTTGTTGCTTGCCATTAAGGATTCTTGCTGGTCAAAAATCCTGAATTACAAGCACCTGCTTGCAATTATGGGTTTGTTGCTTGTCATTAAGGATTTTTGCTTGTCAAACTTCCTTAATTTCAAGCACCTGCTTGTAATTAAGGGTGTTTGCTTGTCATTAAGGATTCTTGCTTGTCATTAAGGTTGTTTTTTGGTCAATCATCCTTAATTACAAGCACCTGCTTGTAATTAAGGATTCTTGCTTGTCATTAAGCATATGTGCTTGTCAAAAATTCTATTTTGAAGCAAGGATTTTCACGTGCTCATTAAGGACTTTTGCTGGTCAACAATCCTTAATTACAAGCACCCGCTTGCAACTAAGGATTTTTGCTTGTCATTAAGGATGTTTTTCTTGTCAAAATCCTTAGTTACAAGCACCTGCTTGTAATTAAGGATTTTTGCGTGTCATTAAGGATTTGTTCTTGTCATGGGGGGGGGCGCCGGCCGTATACAAAAACTGTTTTTTGTAAACAGCTGGGCGGACTGCGAATTTGTCAACATGAAAAGCAATTGTTTCTCCACTCCTCTCCTCTTGGTTTGAAGTTTGAAGTATATAGACGTTTGCGTGTGTCCTCCGTTTGCCACCTTCGTGAGTTTTCCCCTCCTCTCCTTTTGGTTTGTGCTTTGCGTTTTCCCTTCCCTCTCTGTATGCCCCTTCTCGTAAAGTATATGGACGTTTGTGTGTGTTCTCTGTTTGCCACCTTCGTGATTTCTCCCCTCCTCTCCTTTTGGTTTGTGCTTTGCGTTTTCCCTTCCCTCATCTGCATGCCCCTTGTCGTGTCGTGGAGTATATGGACGTTTGTGTCTGCGTTCTCCGTTTGCCACCTTCGTGATTTCTCTTCTTCTCTCCTTTTGGTTTGTGCTTTGTGTTTCTCTGTGTGCCCCTTGTCGTGTAATTAGCACATGGACGCTTGTGTGTGTGTCCTCAGTTTGCCACCTTCGCGATTTCTCCTTGGTTCCTCACGGTGTTTCTTTGAGGGAACCCTTCTCTCGTCAGGGAAACAAGTAGAACTTCATCAAGCGGGGTCCATCTTAAGACATGTGTGCCCACCAGTGAGGTCCAATCCCAACCAATCCAAATCACAGGTTACGTGGAGGTTTGGCATGTATTTGCCCGGATGGGTTTCACATTTTTTGAGTTGGTTCCCTTTTGGGGGCTTCCCAATTTCTAACTTGGTTTGTGCTCTGTTTTCTCATGTAGACTAGACAGGCACAGCCAAGCCACACAGAACATTGTTTCTATCGTTGAGTGCCTACTTGAAGGACGCTCGATGCCAACCCTTCGACCATGTTTGCCATTCATCGCCCATTCCTAGGGGTAGGACACACGTAGGGTTTCCACATACTGCATGTGCATAGATGACTTGCTTTTGGGGGGCTGAGAGCAACGTTGTCGTTTTCCATTTGCATTACACAAACAATGTGGTTTGCGATGTGCACGACACAGCTGGCGAGGGAGTTGCCGGAGTATTGCAGCATAGCTTCAATACTTGCCGACGCTGTTTTTCGTGATTGTTGGAGCTCGCATTTTCCGATCAGCCCAAAAAAGCGAAGGGGCCATTTTGCATCCGGATTGTCAAATCACATGTCTTAGCAACCCTTATTCTCAAGCACATGTCTTAAATACAAGCCAGAACCCCTATTTGTGCAATTCCCCAAGGCCTGCCTCCCATTCCTTCTGTCCCTTTGTGATTTTGCCGAGCGAGTTCCACTGGCGTGCAAAGCAGGCAGGGTGCTTTGTCGGTTTCTGGCGGGGGTGCTGGTCTTGGTGCTGGTCAGGTTGCTGTTTGGTGTTCTCAAGGTGCTCTGGTGTGGTGGTTGCTGGCGCTGCTTTTTGGCGATGCAGTCAGGGTGCAGGTCAGTGCGCAGTTGTAATCTCCCATGCTATCTGGGGTCCGTGCTGGTGTACCTGGCATTCTCCAGCTTATTGTTCTTGCGGATATTGACTTGATTGTCCATTCCGAAGTGTTTACAATGGATTTGTTTTGTGCCGTTGAGTATCAGACAGTTGGCTAGTTGAAGCTATGGGCCAATTCATTCAACTACATCTAACAACGTTTCGTCAACTTTAAAGCAGCTTCAATTGCAACATGTGGCAACCTTCCAACGGAGTCAGTTGCAGTTGTTGCGTTTCGTGTGGAAGAGTTCACGCACATGCAGGCACACCAGTATGGTTCACAGCTTTGTTTCAGCATTGGCCAAGGCAGACTCAATCTCAACATAGCAGCAGTCCAGCTTGGCGAGCAAATATGAGATTAAGCGAGATTTGGCAAGATGGACACCATTCCACAACACTAGCCTGGCAATTTGGAGACACAATCCGCCTTTGTGCTACATGGCGCAGGCTGGGCTTGCTTTTTGCATGTTTGTGAAACTCACCTCCTTGCAACATTAAATGACATCAGAGTTGCAAGAGAAACAGATGCATGCTGCAGATGCTGTTGGCAGAGTATATTGGTTTGGGGTCAGACTCAGGATTCGTGAACGGTCATTCTAATTGCTGAGGGAACGATGCGCAGTCATGAATTGTTGCATTGTAACTTGCTGCCAAACCTCAGGGTGGAAGCGATGCCTTCAGCAGGATCGACACAGATGGCAGCGGAACTATCACTCGTGAGGAGTTTGCCAAGGCACCAGCGTTTGGCGAGTTTGGCGCGCAAGCTTTTATGAGGTTGCCTTCTTGGAAAACCCAGGCGTTCGGATCAATGAGTCAAGTTGGCGGAGCCCAACCATCTGTGCTGTCCTTTGTCGCATGTCCATTGACACGCAAGCTGACATGGCCGCGCACATGGGGATGGGACGGGACACCAGGCATTCGGATCCATGAGTCAAGCTGGAGGAGCTCCACAATCTGCAATGTCCTTAATTGCAACAATTTTCAGGAGTGAGTGAACTCTGGCTGCTGCTGTGTCGGAGGTTGCTCCAATGGCTTCACAGAGCCTATCGCCCATGGCTGCAGCGGGGGCCATGCAATCGGTCTGCCCTTGGCCTGTTTGTGGAACCATTGGACAGACACACACACACACACACACACACACGTTGTGTAATGTCTGCATGCAACACATGGCATGAAGCTGTTTACAGGCATTGGTTATGAGCTGGCATGTTCTAACAGTCGAGCGCATGATTGAACTTTGCTGCCAGGGCAACGTGGCGAAGTGCCGCGGCTGTTTGTTGTCAAGAAAGGTCATGCATTTAGTCATTTTCCACATGCCTAGTCAGAATTTTGAAATTCTTGACCAGCCACTTGGCGAGGTACGGCCAATCCCTTCCTGCCCCCCAGCAAAGCTTTGTCAGGAGCTGAATTGGCGGCTTTGGGACGTTGAGTCGCTCTGTCAAGTGTGGAACCGTCTATTTTGCCTTTGAGTTTGCAATTGCTGAAGCTGTTTTTGCAGATGACAATGAGCTAGTTTCGTGCATCTATTGATGCGACTGGACCTTTGGGGCTAGATAAGCAGCTTGCCACTTGCAAATTTGAACTCAGCATTGACAAATTTGAGTCTGGAAAACACTAGAAAAGCACACTTGTGCTTTGCTTGTGGCATTTGAGGCTGGAAGTGATGCCTTCAGCAAGCTAGATGCAGATCGCAGCGGAACTATCTCTCGCGAGGAATTTGCCAAGGCATCATCATTTGGCAAGTGTAGTAACATGTTGCGAAAACCGTCGCATACATTTTGCTGTGGTTGCCTCCTCGAGAAACCAGGCGTTTGGATCAATGAGTCAAATTGGCGGAGCTCAACAATCGGCGATGTTGTCCTCGTCTCCTGCAGTTTCTCCTCCAAAGAGTGCTCCGGTGCAAACATACGCGATGCCGCGTAGCGGGAGTCCATCTGGTTACGCTGCTTGGTGGAAGTTCAATCAGACAGGTTCGTCGAACATTTGAGTAGTCCAGTGTGTCCATGCGGAATGGGTCGTGCTTCGCGTGCAGCAGTGCTCCGCCATTGAGGTTCCTGTGCAAGGATCCATGTCACAGGCTGCTGATGCTGTCGGAGGGCTTTGCAGGAGTGAGTGATTGCTGGCTGCTGCTGTGTCGGAGGTTGCTCCAATGGCTTCACAGAGCCTATCGCCCATGGCTGCAGCGGGGGCCATGCAATCGGTCTGCTCTTGGCCTGTTTGTGGGCAACCATTGGACAGACACACACGCACACACAGACACATACACGTTGTGTAATGTCTGCATGCAACACATGGCATGAAGCTGTTTACAGGCATTGGTTATGAGCTGGCAGTCGAGCACATGATTGAACTTTGCTGCCAGGGCAACGTGGCGACGTGCCGCGGCTGTTTGTTGTCAAGAGGGGCCATGCATTTAGTCATTTTCTACATGCCTGGTCAGAATTTTGAAATTCTTGACCAGCCACTTGGCGAGGTACGGCCAATCCCTTCCTGCCCACCAACAAAGCTTTGTCAGGAGCTCGGTTGGTGGCTTTGGGATGTTGAGTCACTCTGTCAAGTGTGGAACCGTCTATTTTGCCTTTGAATTTGCTGTAGTAGCCGTTCTTGCATTTGAATTTGAATGGTTGTTTTAAACAAAAGTGTCACTGCCAATCTTGACGACCAGCCGAGCAAGCAAGGGAGTGAGGGAATGGTTGTTTGTACTGCTGACTTTGTACTCTCGTTTTTTGGATCTTCATGAGTTGCACTTTGTAGCTGGACGACCAGCCAAGCTTGAGTGAGTGATCCAAATATGCTTTTCTTTTTGGGACCTAGTTAATCATTTCCTGAGTTGTGTCTTGTGCATTTACAGATCGTACATGTTGTAGCAGGACGAGCAACTTGCCCAGTTGCAAACTCAAAAAAACAGGTAGCTGCAGCTAACCATTGGCAAAATCGAGACCCAAATCGACGCTGCCGCAAAGCTTGCTTTGCATCTGACAATTGAGGCTGGAAGTGATGCTTTCAGCAAGCTAGACGCGGATGGCAGTGGAACTATCTCCCGTGAGGAATTTGCCAAGGCACTGTCATTTGGCCTGCAAGCGTAGATTCGGAAATCGTCGCATGCGCTTTGATGTAGTTGCCTGCTTGAGAAACCAGGCGTTCGGATCAATGAGTCAAATTGGCGGAGCTCAACAACCGGCGATGTTCTCCACATCCTCCGCAGTTTCGCCTCCAAGCAGTGCACCGGTGCAAACATACGCGATGCCACCTAGCGGGAGTCCATCTGGTTACGCTGCTTGGTGGAAGTCCATTCGGACATTGACCAGCATATGTGTGTGTGTGCCGAGTTCCAGATTTACCCTGGAACCAACCGTTAGATCTTGCTGCAGGGGGACACACTTCACTGGGACTGTGCCAAACGAAGCTACCAGGGAAGTGGGATATCCAGCTTGGCCAGCTGGACGTACCTGCAAGTGTGATGTTTGTGAATGTCCTTTTGGTCCCCTCCCTGAATCGCCGTTGCTTCCTTGATTCCCTGTTCAAGTAACTAGAGTGAAGCCGAGTGTGATGCGAGCCGAAAGTTGTACTCGAAAGTTGTACTCGAAAGTTGTACGCGAAAGTTGTACTCGAAAGTTGTACTCGAAGTTCAGCAACCTCCTTCGGGAGTTTAAGTGTGTTTACCCCGTCTCGGGGGACCCTCGGATGCACCCATCGTGTGGCTCCGGGACGGCATTGCCGTTCTATTTGACATTGGCGTCGATCACTAGACCAGCGGAACTTCACTTTAAGCAGAAACGAGGTTTCACTAAAGGGAATACTGCGTCAACCATTTTTCTTGTGTTTGTTCTTGTGGTTGCTCCAACGTCGTCCCCGTCAACCGCTTGTCCGTCGTCTGGCACTTCGCCCGTTTAGGGATGGCTTCTGCTTCCTCCCGGTCTCTTTTTCGTGCCTTTCGTCACCCGCGTGTTGGTCTTCTTCCTCTTGGCCCGCTTAGGGATGGCTTCTCCGTCTTCTGGCTGTTTCCCTTTTTCCTCGTCGTCCTCTTCCAGTCTGCCTTCTTGCTCGCGCTCCTCGTTCCCCTCACGCAGTTTGGCTTGGCGTCTTCTTCCTCTTCCGTTGGCTGCAGGTGTACTTTCTCTAGGCCCCTGTGCGGGATTCGTCGTCCTCTTCTTCGAGTTGCGGTCCTTTTCCTCCTTGTCTTCTGGGCGGGAACCTTTTGCCCTCTTCCTCTTCTTCTTCCTCCTCCCCTTCTTCCTCCTCTTCTCTCCCGTCCTCTTCTTCTCTCTCGGGCGGGTTGCGACGCCCTAAATACGCAATCTTGCTCTCTTGCTCTCTTTCTCTTTTCTCTGTTCCCTTGTTTTCGGTTTTCTTTTGTTTCTTTTCTCTCTCCTTTTCGTTCTCTCTTTTCTTTCTTTTTTCTTTTCTTTCTTCTCTCTCTCCTTTTCTCTCTTTCCTTTTTCTTCGCGCTACCTCGTGTTCTTCCTCTTCGCCCGTTTAGGGATGGCTTGCTCTTTTTCTGGCTGTTCACCTTCGCGGCGTTCGTCCTCTTCGAGGTTTAGGTCGTTGTTTTTTTTGGCGCTGTTTAGGGTTGTTGCCCTCGTCGGAGACCCGAAACCTGGTTCCCTTGTTTTTCTTGTTTCTTGTTTGGGGTTTTTGCCCGCGCATTCCCAACTTGGGGCCTTTCTGTTTTCTTTTGTTTTCGCTCGCTCTGTTTCGTTTTCTGTGGGGGTCTTCGCCCCTACGGGGGCGTGTGTGTGCCGAGTTCCAAATTTACCCTGGAACCAACCGTTAGATCTTGCTGCAGGGGGACACAGCACTTCACTGGGACTGTGTCCAACGAAGCTACCAGTGAAGTGGGATATCCAGCTTGGCCAGCTGGACGTACCTGCAAGTGTGATGTTTGTGAATGTCCTTTTGGTCCCCTCCCTGAATCGCCGTTGCTTCCTTGATTCCCTGTTCAAGTAACTAGAGTGAAGCCGAGTGTGATGCGAGCCGAAAGTTGTACTCGAAAGTTGTACTCGAAAGTTGTACGCGAAAGTTGTACTCGAAGTTGTACTCGAAGTTCAGCAACCTCCTTCGGGAGTTTAAGTGTGTTTACCCCGTCTCGGGGGACCCTCGGATGCACCCATCGTGTGGCTCCGGGACGGCATTGCCGTTCTATTTGACATTGGCGTCGATCACTAGACCAGCGGAACTTCACTTTAAGCAGAAACGAGGTTTCACTAAAGGGAATACTGCGCTTTGATGTAGTTGCCTGCTTGAGAAACCAGGCGTTCGGATCAAAGAGTCAAATTGGCGGAGCTCAACAACCGGCGATGTTCTCCACATCCTCTGCAGTTTCGCCTCCAAGCAGTGCACCGGTGCAAACATACGCGATGCCACCTAGCGGGAGTCCATCTGGTTACGCTGCTTGGTGGAAGTCCATTCGGACATTGACCAGCATATGTGTGTGTGTGTGTGCCGAGTTCCAGATTTACCCTGGAACCAACCGTTAGATCTTGCTGCAGGGGGACACACTTCACTGGGACTGTGCCAAACGAAGCTACCAGGGAAGTGGGATATCCAGCTTGGCCAGCTGGACGTACCTGCAAGTGTGATGTTTGTGAATGTCCTTTTGGTCCCCTCCCTGAATCGCCGTTGCTTCCTTGATTCCCTGTTCAAGTAACTAGAGTGAAGCCGAGTGTGATGCGAGCCGAAAGTTGTACTCGAAAGTTGTACTCGAAAGTTGTACTCGAAGTTCAGCAACCTCCTTCGGGAGTTTAAGTGTGTGTGTCTCAATGCTGCATCAGTCATGCTTCTGCGTGCAGCAGTGCTCCGCCATTGAGGTTCCTCTGCAAGGATCCATGTCGCAGGCTGATGCTGTCGGAGGGCTTTGCAGGAGTGAGTGATTGCTGGCTGCTGCTGCGTTGGAGGTTGCTCCAATGTCTTCACAGAGCCTATCGCCCATGGCTGCACCAGGGGCCATGCAATCGGTCTGCTCTTGGCCTGTTTGTGGAACCATTGGACAGACACACGCACACACACACACACACGTTGTGTAATGTCTGCATGCAACACATGGCATGAAGCTGTTTACAGGCATTGGTTATGAGCTGGCATGTTCTAACAGTCGAGCGCATGATTGAACTTTGCTGCCAGGGCAACGTGGCGAAGTGCCGCGGCTGTTTGTTGTCAAGAAAGGTCATGCATTTAGTCATTTTCTACATGCCTGGTCAGAAATTTTGAAATTCTTGACCAGCCACTTGGCGAGGTACGGCCAATCACTTCCTGCCCCCCAACAAAGCTTTGTCAGGAGCTCGGTTGGTGGCTTTGGGATGTTGAGTCACGTTTTTCAAATTGTGAGGCTGGAAGAGATGCGTTCGGCAAGATCGATGCAGATGGCAGCGGAACTATCACTCGCGAGGAGTTTGGCAAGGCAGACACCATCGTCCGGCCCGCAAGTTTCTTCAAGTTGCATGCTTGGAAATGCCAGGTGTTCGGATCAATGAGTCAAGTTGGCGGTGCTCAACAACCGGTGATGTCCTTGGTTGCATGTCCATCGTTCGGCCTGCCGCATATTTAGATGTGTGGAAACCAGGCGTTCGGATCAATGAGTCAAATTGGCGGAGCTCAACAACCGGCGATGTCCTTAGTTGCATGTCCAAGCATTCGGCTTGCAAGCTGAAGTTGGTTGTGGGGAACCAGGCGTTCGGATCAATGAGTCAAATTGGCGGAGCTCAACAACCGGCGATGTCCTTAGTTGCATGTCCAAGCATTCGGCTTGCAAGCTGAAGTTGGCTGTGGGGAACCAGGCGTTCGGATCAATGAGTCAAATCGGCGGAGCTCAACAACCGGCAATGTTCTCCACATCCTCCGCAGTTTCGCCTCCAAAGAGTGCACCGGTGCAAACATACGCAATGCCACCTAGTGGGAGTCCATCCGGTTGTGCTGCTTGGCAGAAGTGCATTTGCACAGCTTTGTCGAAGCGCTCGAGTAGCTCAGTGCGTCAACTTTGAATGAATCGTGCTTGCCTGTGTAGCCATTGAGGTTCCTGTGCAAGGATCCATGACACAGGCGATGCTGAGGGTTGCATGCACCAAGTAAAACGAAGCTTGTGAAAGTCACCGAGCTGACAAGTTTTACCGCGCAGAGTCGTTCAATTTTGCTGCCAGGGTAACGTGATGCCGTGCAACCGCTGTTTCTTTGCAGTGTTGACTGATGCATGGCATTTGCCCAAAAACTTGGCGAGGTACGGCCAGTCGCTTCCTGCACAACCAAACTTTGCCAGGAGCTCGATTGTGGGCATTCGCATTGGCCCGTCAAGCTCAGCGTTCCACTGCTGAGGCGCCTATGCAAGGATCCATGGCACAGGCTTTACTACCTGCCTCTCGTATCGCTGAACCACTCTGTGGATGTATTTTAGACGATTTGTCGACGGAGGCATGTCGGATTCTGGCAGGTTCCGATGTCCTCACAGAGCTTGTCTCCGAAAATGACCCCTTCCGGGCCTGTTCCAACGGTCCGCCCTTGCTTTGCATGGTCTGCATTTGGGTTTTTTTGACTCAGACATCCCATTTCGCATGGGTCCTTCCATTTTCCTAAATTCAGCACTGGAAGTTTCTCTTAGGAATCCGTTTCAGCGTGTTCCTTCAATGGTCAGCGCCCGCACGGATTTCGGTTCAGGGCCTGGGTGCCCCGTCAGTTGTGAGTCACCAAGTCACCTCTCCCCAAGTCCGTGGCTTAGCGACGAGGGATGCATTCCGTGCCGGCCGCAGCGGCTGCCGCCGGCACCGCCTACACCGGGAAATGGCTCTTCGACTACAACCGCGAGAACTTCCAGTATGATGTGCCACAAAGGTTTGGGCGGTACATGACCTCCCGGGGGATGCTGAACACTCAAATGGGCCAGTATCGTCAAGATGTCCATGGCATTGCTGAGCTGACCGCCTCCAAGATGGACACTGTACAAGGCATGATGACTCTGGTGCTGTGCGTTTGTGCAGCCTTGTCGGATGCCGGGCGTATCGGCATGCACGGGTGTGCACCTCCTCAATGGCTCTGTGGTCTCTATTCAGGCTGGGGGGAGAGAGTGAAGGCTGAGTAACCAGAAGTGGCCTTCATTTACCAGGTCACATCTACACTTCCATCCTGTACTGTGGCACAGCCCTCTGGCTGGGCATGCATGGCTCTCTCCGGGCCCAGTGACCTGCCCGCAGTAGTTCGGAGCCCTTGGCTTTCCAGCACTCAGGGCGTGAAGATTCCTAAGGGCTTGTCTCTTTTAGAGGACGGTTTACTTTTTGGGAGAGGGAAGGCCAACGGAGACAAAGCGTGCATTTTCCGCAGGTGCGCCATGACGTCGCTCCTCACCCGGAAGGTGAGGCTGCCCATCCCCTCCATGGCGCAGCTGGATGCTGCCCGATCCTTCGGCTCTGCCTTCGAGCAGCAGAGGGTGGGAGACATGTTCCGTGTGCGGAGCTTAGGGCACGTAATTTGGACAGCATCTCAGTGACACCACTTGGACAGAGACATATGCATTTTTTTCAGGACCAAGTCTCATAGTTGCAGTTGCAGGTGCCCTTCATGAAACACCCGGAAGATGCCCCGGATATTCCGCCCGCGTCATCCGGCGAGTCTGACGAGGCCAAAAAGGGACGGGGGGGAACGGCCCGTTTGCACGCTGCCGCATGTCTTGTTAGGAGGGCAAAAAGGAAGGCAAGGAGGGCAAGAAGGAAGGCAAGGAAGGCAAGGATAAGAAGGGCAAGAAGAAGTCGAAGGCAGGAGTTCAAATGTGAGGATTCCTTAGGCAGGCCTTCCTGCATGTTGGACTGCCTTTCAGGTAGGTCTTCCGGACCCCCGCACCGAGTTTGCCAGCACTGCCCGTGATTCCGTACCATCCTGGATTCGTGATGAGCAGGCGCAGGGTGCCGTCACGGGCTGCTGGGGTTGTTTGCTTTCGCAAACAAGCCAAGTATCACAATCTTAGCGAGTTTTCGGCGCTGCTCAACTTTTTTGGGACGGGGGTCGCTTTACAAAATATCCGTGGAAGCCAACGCTGCTCAGCCTTGCCATGTGAAGCAGAAGATCTCTGAGAGCCACCCGTGTGAACATTGCACCATCGACTCTTCACTGTTCGAGGCAATAGAATCTCATGGTCATTCAGGTCAGGTTCAAGCTGAGACCATTGACAGCAACTGCACATGCAGCGTTGCTTGTACGCTTTCTGCAGCAACAGTTCCTCAACATACTCTTCTTTGCTCAACATACCCTTCTTTGCTCGCAGCTCTTTGCCAATGCCTCCCATTGGTTGGTTGTAGGCAACCTCACAGGATCCTAGCTCATTCAATGTCTGCTTCAGGGAAAGGATTGCACCTGTCTTGTACTGTTGCCTGAGAATGGTCGATATTCCCAGAACTCAAGCTGGCAAGCTGGTGCCAGTGAATCACATCAAACACCGCCCACGTGCTCGCCAGGTTGTGGACAAGGGAACAGGAACCCTGGGGGGGCGCCTTGGCTGCGCAACGTCCGGGGGGGTTCCAAGACTGGTGACCCCTTTGAGGCCCCTTTGGGATGGTTTTGAAATGGAGGTTGAACAGGGAAGTCAGGCGTTTTCCGAGGCCCAATCTAATTCGAAGGACACACATACAAAGACATTTTGGAACAACAAACACCTCCTTCCGCGCTTGAAGGGCTCCAGCTCGCGATGACTTCGAGCCCCATGAGACGCCAGATCACTTCAAGATGCTCCTTGCGGTGACGGCCTTAGGCCGAGTGCCCACAGCCCTCCTATGCACTTGATCAAGGGATTCCAGTAGCCTCCTACAAATGAAAAGAGGCTAATACAGATGGCACAGATGAGTGGGAAGCATTGTTCATGTCTCATTTTTCAGTTATCCAAGGCACAGGAGGAGTGGTGGCAATATGACGTCTACGCACGCGTGCTGATGCTGTATGGATCCTGCCAATTCCTGTATGCGGCCTCTCGCCATGAACGCATATTGTCCGGGGTTTTTGGTCAAAACAGCTTGGCGCATTCGGCAATTCGTAGTCTTTGTTTTTCGACTTCCAGGTGTGCTACTACTGCATTGGTACCACCACGGCAGAGCTGCGCGGGTTTTGGATCTCTTGGTCCATGCCCATGCTCTTCATGGGCGCGCAAGTGTTGATTTTGCGCCTGGACGTGGTGCGCACCAGCGGCAACCACATGCTTCCCCACGCCGAGTGGCTTGGGCACCTGGCGCCGTACTTGGCAGTGACCGCCACCACCCTTGAGTACCGGCACTTGTACTCCCCCACCGTGGTGATCGTCACCTGGATCTTTGTGTTCCTCACGTACTTTGCCCACTTCGTCATGGCGCCGGCCCGAGGTGTTCAGGATATCGGATACCCCAGCTGAAAGAGAGTAAGTGGGGGGTATGGACCTGGCCCGAACCCAGGCCCTGCGCTTTTTGGACCTGGCCTGGCCGGACTGGAACCGTGCCATTGACATGCCGGACGAGCCTGGGAAGCCATGGTGGCCCTCCTCTTGGAAGGCCGATGGAAAGCACCTGGACACTTGCAGGTTGGCAGGTTGGCAGGTTGCCGGCAAGTTGCTTGTAGGTACCATCTGCCTTCCGGAACTCCTTGTGGCTGCTGGCGCCCCCCAAGAAGCTGGAACCTGGCCAGCACGATCTTCTTCATGAAGCCGAGGAGAGATCTCCGGGTTTCCATTTTTCCCATGCGTGGCAAGTGCCGAGCTTTTGCCAAGACCCGATAGAGCCACTAGAGCCATTTTTCGCCTTGCAGGGCTTGGCAGCCACCACTGGTGGAGTTGACATCCGGAAGCGAAAGGCCCGGCCGTCTTGAGCGGCATTGTGAGTGCCTTTGCACTTGACAGGGTGATAAGAAAGGGCAGAAGGGGAAAGAGAAGGCGTGGGACTCGACTCGAGTGTCGGGCTGTCAGTTGGAACTGCTGAGGGAGAAGGCTTGGGCAGCTCTGATATGGAAGCTGCTGGGAGCATGGGGGAATCTTCGCCTACAACCTATCGTGGCGAGGCAGGCTGTTGGCTAGGTGTGACACTTGAGAGGCTTGGCATGGAATCGGCACCCAGCCTCGCATGAAGCAAACCTGAGTTGCCAAGTATGCGGTCAGTGGAGCCTACACGGCTACGTTTTAAACAACTAGGGGCGACTCCAGATTGATGCATCAAGTGGTAAAGACGCTCCCCAAACGACTGCCTTGTTTCTCAAGCTGTTCTCATGCCAGAGCGGAGGCAGATGGTGCGTACACCGGGCGCTCGCCGTTCAAAGCTTTTGCGGAAGCACGGTCTCCGGACACTGCCTCAGCCAGTCACTTTGCACTGAGCCAAACAAATCTCGGCCAGGTGAGCTTTGCCCACCCCCAGCCTTTGTAATCTGACACCTGATTTTGTTGGCACAATGGCTACGTTCTTCTGGCAGACCACAATCCCTGCTGAATTGATGTTCATCAAAGGGTACTCAATTAGAAGTAATTCTTTCCCTACTGATAGACATAGACAGCTGAGTTGGACCACCTGCCTCAGGACCTGCCGTGGCAGCTTGCCCGGGTGGCGATTTGCACCGTCGCCTTCGGGTGGTCAGAGACTGAGAGGGGTTGCAGGCGACTCTACAGGGAGACATGCCGCAGAGCACAGAGAAGAGAGAGAGAGAGAGAGAGAGTGAGTGAGTGAGTGAGTGAGTGAGTGAGTGAGTGAGCGAGCGAGAGGGAGAGAAGAGCCAAAAGAAGATTTTGCCCAGGGTCTACATGGCCATTTGCTTGTTCGTGGCCCAGGGCTCAGTGATTTTGCCCTGAGCAGATTGTCCCTTTCGAGCGAGCTGAGCAGGAAATGAACATCGGACAAGATGCTGTGATGAAGCCTCCCGGTGAGCCGCCATGGATCCGAGACCAGAAGCCAGGTCCTGAAATTCTGCGGTGTGAAGCGTGAAATTCTCTTGGGGGACAGTCTGTTGAGAAACGCCAAGGATGGTGAACGTCTGGGTTCCCGGGCCTGGAGTGTGGCACATGAGCAACGAGCCCCTTCCCAGCGGCTTGGCCTCACGGGCCTGTCTCAAAGTTCGTGGGTTTCCTCTCCAGTTCCCTTTAATCACCAACCAAAAGGGAATCCATCCTGAGAGCGTCCAGTCCGCCAATGCCCAGCAAGCAGGTTCTGACGCAATCAGAGCTTCCATTGCGGGCAGAGCCAACAACCATTTTGAAAGCCAAGCTCGTTTGGGCTTGCTTGAATTGCACCAGTGAAAGCAATCCAAATCGAATGCCACAGCCCTTAGCTATACCCATGCAGTGTCCATCGGCCCGTTGCCAGCAGACCAGGGCTGGAATGGTATGAAGCTTGAGGCATTCAGTTCACGCAGCAGGTCATGCAGTCATGCATTGCAAGTGCTGGTAGGAGCGAAGGGCCGTTGAGCCACGCGAGGCAAGTACTTGCTCGAGTCTTCGACCCGTGCCAAGTACGATGACTCGAGCGGCCAAGACCTGAGCGTGGGACTTCGCTGAAAGATGGA